AGAGCATAAGCAGCTAAAAACATACTTTTAAGAAAAAAGGGATTTTCAGTTTGGATAAATTAGACTATCGACCACATGCTACGCAAGTAGAACCCTGCAGAGGTGGAAATTATATCCCGAAAGTAAATGAAGTTAAATGGTTTTTAGTATTCTTTATTTACAATTTTATACTGTGGGAGAGTTGATTTTTAGGTGGATGAAGTAGAAAGGCAGCACATTTCTCAATCAACCATTGGGCAATGGGAAAACCATATGTATGTTGTTGAAAGATTCGACAGATTAACTACTTCCTACTTTGGGACAGTAATGAATAGAAAGGCTACAACACGATGCCATGGGTTGTTTACCCAAATTTTGTACAGTAAAAATAAAGACCTAAGTCTTATTAAGAAGTTGGAGGAAATAATAGGGAAAAAGTTGAACCTTCTGGACTCTTCATAGATTCCCAAAAAAATTACTTGGCTGTTTCTCCAGATGGTTTGTTAATATTAAAATGACATATCCGTAATTATATTAATTAAAAAAAATATTTTTATTATATCAAAAATTACTTTTGTATTTATTGGATTTTTCTACTATTTATCGTAGGTTATAATTTTCATCAAGTATATTTTTAGGACTTATTGAAAATTCCCACTGTGTTGAAGTTAAATGCTTACATAGTGTATTTAAATTAGGAATAAGCCTAGAAGAAGCTACCCGACAAAAAAAACATGCTTGGAAATTATAGATGAAAAATTAGTAAAGATGCAGTTGAAAAGAAAACATCAGTATTATTATCAGGTAAAATTTGATAATTTATTATATTAATATTTTCAACAGTATTCAAAAAGTTGATTTGTCATATCGTACAGAAACGTCGAAAGGCAACATTGTATGTAGCGAGGCGTACAAGTGCCGTGGTCGGGACACTGCCGTTGTGCAGGAAATCAATCCCCTCTGCATTATACCCCTAACTCATAAACGTCTCCTAATGCGCTAGTTCAGTGTGATGTCATTTTGGTTCCACTGACATTTAATTCTAACCAACTTTTAACAAAAACATCAATAAATTTGACATATACGTTTTTACTGTTTTTATTTTATTTCAAAATATTGTTTACAGGTCATAAAAAATAGTTTAAAGGTATGAAATTGGTAACTAAACGATTGTATATTTGATACATGCTATCTACTTACTTTAGGAATATATTTATAAAAGTGGAAAAAACGATATAATTTAGGTAAACAAAACGAACAAAACGCACTCAAAAAATCTACTGTCACTTTAATTGTCAGTGGAACCATAATTACATCATCACTGAACTAGCGCATAAATAACACAATTGTCATACTTATGTCAAGCTATCGATGTGTTATTTATTTACTTATTTTTTTATTTATTTAATACAAATTTTCAGTTCCCGATATTTTGATGAACAGAGAAAGTCAGGGTATAAGCTTTCTTTTATAATCCTTGCACTTTAATTTATAGTTTTTCTTGTAGTTCTTGGGTTTTTAGGTGCTTGTAGATCAAATAAAAATCGAATGTGTGGTTATAGCTTTCAGAATTGATCAGTGCCTTCGTAAGTAGTTTTTATTAAAGAATTTTTTCTTTTAATTAAAACGTTTTTTTATTTATGAAAGTAAACGTTATGAATTCTTTGATACATAAGTGAGGTGTCATTAAAATAAATTAAAAAAAAAATTTTATTTTTTTTTTCCCGTAAATTAAAACGGATGACCATAAAACAACAATTAATAAAAATATAACAACGGACATGACTAAGATTATAGGAGAAAAAAAAAATGAAGAAACATGTTTTAATTTATTTTAATGACACACTCCAATTCTGTGCCAAAGAATTCGTATAACATTAACTTTCATAAAAAACAATGTTTTAATTAAAAGAAAACAATGCTTAATAAAAACTACTGAAGAAGATACTGATCAGTGCCGAAAGCTATACCCACACATACGATTTTTATTTGATCTACAAGCACCTAAAAACCAAAGAACTATAAGAAAAAAATAATCATCATTTTATGTCTTATTTTGTTTAATAGGTTCAAGTACAACTAAACAGGGAGAAATGTGTGTTATTTTATTATATGCATTAGTGACGAACATGAACTATATATTGAGGAAATAATTCAAGATAATGATCTTTGGATAAATCAGATGGTACCGACCCTGGAAAGATGTTATAAAGACTGTGTGTTGGAGGAAATAATCAGGCAACGCTCCATCAGAAATGTGAAGTGTTTTGATCCTGCGTGGATAACTGATGCGATAAATAAAAAAAGAAGCAAAAGAAAAAATTAGATATGAGAAATAAGGCGGTACGAAATTCAAATTTGAGTCCGTTTTGCGAAAATGGTCACATTCGGTACATTTTTCGGACATATTTATTTACAATATTTTATTTTGTATAAGCAAAACGACCTTTAAGGATTTATTTAAATATTTTCAACTTGAAGTACTTGTATAGCAGCAAAACTGACTTTAGTTAATAAAATACTATTATTTAAAATCTATTTTATTTCTGAATATTATTTCGTTTTCTTTTACAAAAAAATCATTTCCCAAACCACCATGTGTTCGTATGTTTTCTTTAGCGCTTGGCGTTTGTTTTCCAGATACTCATTTTTGACATATGTACAGAACGACAAGATTGAGATGGCAAGTCAGAATTAGATGCGCACTGGTAAATATAAAAATGGGAGGAGTTATATCAGTTATTTTTTCATTCTGTACTTTATTTTTTTGAATTAGGTAAAAATAAAATAACTATGTTACTATTTAAAAAATAACATAAAAACGAATTACTTAAGAAAAGTATTTATTTGGCTTTAGAGCAGAGCAAGCAAGGGTTTCGTAGTACCCCACTTTTAAAGTTTATTTTTGATTTTTTCTAAAAGAAAAAAATATGTGCGTGTAGGCAAAGGTTCAATCTGTGCTCTCCTGGAGACACTTTTTCAAAATTTGATTGATTTAAAAAAAAAATACAAAACTCGACTTTTTTACCCATTTTCTCAATTTTTTTTTTTAGAAAAAACTAATTTGAAGTTAGAAAAAGTGATTGAAGAGAAGCATAGATTCAACCTTTACCTATACGTACATTTTTTTTTAAATATTTAAAAATAAACTATAACAGTGGGCTACTACGAAACCCTTACATTGCAAGATTTTTCGTCTGGAATGTGGGGCCTCTGTTAGATTTTTAAGAAATTAATATTTGTGAATGAAAACAATTTATTGTCAGCGAATTAGGATATCGCCACCACTGGGGTCGACGGTACCACGTCTGCCCATTGCAGTGTCCAGGACCAGGAGAGCGGGGACTTGACTTTCGACCAGCCGAACGCGATGAACTGATAGTCCTTATGCCCTTTAAAGACATTCTTTATTTTGTTCCTTAATTAATTACATTTCAAACATTGTTTACGAGATATTTAATAAAACGTTATAAAACCATGTTAACACGTGTTTTATGAAGTGTCTATACAGGGTGTTATAGTATACAGGGTGTTAAATCGTTTAAAAACAATAATTTTGAAGTTAATTCTTTTAACTTCTAACATTATAATATATTTTACTGATGTTTTACGAGTGATAGATAAATTTTACGTATTTGTACACCTTATTTTTTTACGTAAATAATTTCTGTGATACTAAGATTGGCATACATATTATATGCATGGGTTCCGTAGTACATCAATTTAAGGTCCCGGGATGATCTTGATAATTCGTAGGGGGATTACTGGGATTTGATTCCGAATTATCAAATTATTTCAGCCACTTATTTTTCAGATATACTGACTTTTCGGATTTCTATTTGCGATTTCTCGATAATAAATTCAATATTTTTAAAAAGTTAGTTCATTTAAATAAAAATCCAGTACCTAATTATAATTTTTCTCAAACTGTTTTTAAGAGAACTAAACAAAATCACGTAACAGCTCCGTGAAATAAAACAAGAAAATATAAAAAAAGAAATCATTTCAAAACACTTATTTCCTACCTTTTTGCCGAATTTTAATTATAGAAAGTGGTATGAATTTTGTGTTTCTTTTGAGACATCCAGTATGCTCTTATAAAACGTTCATAACTGATCTGAAAAATACTTATCGCAAGCCATTTTAGCTATCTGTATTACCTAAATAATGAACCAAAAAAAATATTTCGAGAATAACCTTCCTTCTCTTTCCTAAACACAGTCAACTGCCCGACAAATTAATCACCCATTTATCACACAAATAATTTTCTAACGATTTAGTATAAAAGATCTGTGGACGTGGATTTACAAATACAGCGTGCAAAGGCCAAGCGAATAACGAATTGTCAATGTTGCCACTATTTAATTCCCTGTGTATTTGAAACCCACGTTATTTCGTCTTGTTTTTACTTTAAACAATCAAAACTATATTTCGAATACATTGCATGTGTTGAATGTTGGGAACGATTCGACTTGCTTGTTTTTAGATCTATCGACGAGTGTCTGAACTGAAATGTTGGTAAAACAGGGTTTGCCGCGTATATTATTTTAAATTTTAGCTTGTATTTTATTTCTCAATTTTCTCCGTTATTACATTGATTTGAGAATTGGTTTCAACGTAATTGTATTTGATTATTATTAGAGTATTTGCTTGATCCCTTGAAAAAATCGTATTATATTTTTTTTATAATTGTTTAAACTTTTATTTTTATTATTATCAAAGTTACATTATTTATATTGGCGTCAGCACTGTTCTGATTTAATTCAAAAACGTCTACCAAATCTAAGCTCTTTAATTTGTATAGTTTTCTTTATTAGGAAATAAAATTAAACTCTCGCCTTAAACTGGTAGTGAGTCATTCCCTTATTCAAACTGTAAAGAGTGTTTTTCATGGTAGACCTTAGTAGACTCACTGATCAAGATATAATTTATGATTCAAATTTTGAGTTTGATTTTACTTTATCCATTTTTCAGTTTGTAGAGATGCAAAAATATACTATACCTTTAGCTAAACCACTTACTTTAATTCGTTCTCGATTGTGATTGATTTGTTAATGCAAAAGAGAGATCCATCTGAATTCCTTCTGAAGAATTCCGCCAACGGAGTATCCTTTTCATTGCGACGGATTATTTTAACGATTACTGGTTCTTCCTTTGGCATTACTTTATTAATAATGGTAAGGAAATCTTTCGGAATTTCATCCAGTAACATCATTGTCTGCAAACAGATATTAATAGTTTAATTTCAAATCAAATTCTTATTAAGCTTAACAAGCGGCTTGAAAAATGTAAATCCAAACTCCTCGATTTAATTTAAATTTTTCTACTCATTACAAATAAATCATAAACCTTACGACGCATCTAATTAATTAAAAATACCTTCACAGCCTGTGGTGGGTACAAACTCAAAATGTCGCTCAACTTGTCCAATGGATAAAGTGCTGCATCCTTAATATTTATAACCTCTGTATTACCATAATCCATGTAGTAAATTTGAGCCATATCTTCTTTTGGCGACCAATCGATAATTTTTATCCTATACCAGTGGCCATCGAAGTTATATTTGCCGAAATAGATTTTATTTTGGCTGCTCTGTTTATTTACAGGTTCTAAAATATCAGTAGGAGGATTGCTAGTTACTTGAGCTTCGAGTTCTTCTAATAAATGAAGCAAATTTTGGTAACCTCGAGTACGTATTTGTACATATATATCACCATTTTCAGCTATGTGTGAAACATACACTTCTGTTATAGTATCCTATAAAAAATGTAGGGTTAAGTAATACTATTTGTGTTGTGAAAGATGATTAAAAAATAAGTGTAGCAAATTGGTAAACGGATAGATCTTAATTAACCAACAAACACTATAATTATACTTAATGGAGAATTTTCCTATGAAATGGAAATATCAAAATTATATGACAGAAGAAACACCCTAGCAAATGTTTGTAATTTAAAAATAATTACTAGGTTGTCAGATTTAAACTATAAATTAGTTTGTTTCTATTTTGATATGTGTCAACGTTGTAAGGTTGTTTAATAAGGATGTAATCAAGTATTGCTCTCGAACTTATGCTTCCATCTTTTTTTTTCAATTAAGAGAAGCGTAGAGGGATTTCAGAATAGTTCAGAGTATTCTGTGGTTTTGATCTGCACAACACAAGTATTTTTATGTTTTTACAGCACACCTACTGTTTGAAACTATAATTTTCCCACAAGTCATTGTACACAAATATAAATGTTTTATTCAAAGTATTTTTTCGTCTCACAAGGTAAAAGCAAGCAGCAAATTAAATGAACTGACCAGTCCATATTCTTACAAAAAAAAAAAACATTTATATATTTAATCATAAAGCCAATGTGCAGATTTGTAATTTATTTTATTATGGTTGAATTCATTATTAAAGAGTACGTTCTTAAGTTCTAAAGTGTATGTTCTCAGAAATGACGCCCTTTTAGTTGCAGGTCGTCAATTTCTAAGCGACCTTGCTATATGAAACTAAAAACGTGGACTAAAAATATAAGAAATACAAAATACATTAACTAAAACCAATTTATTAAATAAAGGCAATATTCATAATAATGGATTCTATATTTTATTAGAAATAAAAGAATCCCAATCACATTCTCCTTAAGAAAACAGAAAATATGTGGCAGTACTTAACAGTAGCGATAATATTCCGGGTCTAGGAAAATTGACCTCCTGCACATTTACCGCCATATAATACATATAATTATTTATATATGGTCATTTTAAATAATAAAATATGGTTTTTTTTGAAGGTATTGTTTAAAAATTAAGTAGTTATAGCTAAAAAAGAAAGTGACTTATATGCTAAGTGTCTTGGATGGGTCTAAATAAAATTAAATTCAACTGCAATTTATATAAGCAATTTATCGCAAGCATTTTTTATCGTCAGGAAATATATTGATCATTTTAAAATGAATTAAAGAGTTTTTAATTTATTATTTTTTTGTATTTATCTTTTCAGGTATGTGTATTTGCTAATGTGCTAATTGTGAATTTGCTATATTGTTCGAAATTATTTTATAAAATATATGTTTAAAGTTATTTAGATACTGCAACATGTATAATACTTTAATGTCTTAGGTTATTTAAAGTTTTGCCATTGGAAATTTTGTGCCAAAAAAATAGATTACCTTTTTATTTGACATAATTAAGATTTGTAATTATATGGTTTTAAATATATTGATGGTTAGTTACCGTAAGAAAATAAGTGTAATTCGTAAATATTGTCTACCTAAAATTATTGATATTCCTAGAATAGCGCCCTTAAACTGAACCGGTACGTGAGCTAATGGTCGTTTGAATGCATTAATTTGACGAAAATTAATAATTATAAGTTTCCTAAAAAATAAAATTATGATTTATGTGTTTAACAAATAAATGAAATTTATTAATGTATACTTTTTTAACATTTCACGTTATGGTTTCGTCTTAGTCTAAACTAAAGAAGAATAGAAACAAGATTGAAAGGTTTTTACGCAGGATTTTTATAATTTTTGGAACAAATGCAAAAAATTGAAGTACAGAAGTCCTATACACATTACAAAATAGCAACACTTTTTTAAATACATACATTTATCCCTGCACCTGACAATAATAATAATAATAATTATTATTATTAATGGTTATTTGTTTTTAAGAGATATATTGCATATAGAAAACGCAATTTATTTAAAATTCAGCAAACTATATTCGTTATTAAATATTTCAAAACTGTTTATTTATTGGCAGCCAATTAAACTGAATTCATAAGATTTCGAGCGCTTCTCACTACTACCGACTAGTAGCAAAATAGTAGGTAGCAATGAATACCTACACAAGAAGCGAAACTGAACTTAATACACTGGGAAACGTATGAAAATTAATCAATTTTTGTCGTTTGGTTTATAAGAATTAAACACATACTAAAGTAACAATTATAGACAGAACATTCTTACTATGTTCATTATGTCAAATAGATTATTTTATTAACGAAATAAATACTGAAGGTACAATAATGACAGTCACTACACAATAGCGAAAGCAGATTTGTTTTGGGCAAGTATTGGCTAACACTGGGAGATATAAGAGAAGAACCTCTTGGCAACGTTGTCAACTACATTAAATCTGTAGGCTAGCTCACGAGCTAGGAGGTGCCTATCATCTTAGGAGGATACACAATGGGCCTAAAGTGCCGTGGGTTAACCCACCCTCTACACGTTACATATCCAGAAGTACTGTAGGTAGCTGTAACTGCATTTCGATTGCATCCTGATAGCAGCGACTTGGTTCCTCGAAGTGAGTTTGTCATATGTATTAATTATTGTTTTGTATTATTGTTTATTTACTGTTTTAATTCGAATGGTTTAAAAAACAAAAAATAACATATTTAGATAAAAAACTAAGAAATTAAACGATGCATAATATGTAGGCATAAATTATCATTATAGGTACTTAATAGTAATAAGGAAATTAAAAAAAAAAACAGATGCAGGAACGTTCAATAAAATGTACGAACAACGTTAGGTATTTTTTTTCATGTAATACAAATTTTAAAACTATCCAATTTCTAATTACTACTTAGTTAAATACAACTACTTAACTATACTGCAAATTTTACAAAACGCTAATAATAATATACTAAACGTTGCTCTACATAAATTGACAGCTATACTTGACGTTAAACCACCTCTAAAACACTGAGATAACTTGGCAGTTTTTTGTCCACGAATCGCCCATTTAGTTTCGCTTCTTGCGTAGGTATATTCTTTGATAGTAGTTTATGCAACAAAAGTGGATATGTTGGCCATATCGCACGACGCCGTAGGCGGAGTGCTCAACCGTCTAAGTGCGATATGGATAATCCACTCGAGTTGTACAGTATATTATTTCTACGACCCATTAACGAAAAATCTAAAGATTTTTAAAATTATTTTAGGTCATTAAGATGAAATAACTAATTTTAAAATAATATATGACTTAGTAATTTATAAAATAAACCTGAAAAAGGAAGATTTAATTTAATTAGTCCCCCTGCTCAGATTCGAACTCGGGCCTCTCACGTGGAAGACAGATGCCGTATCCTCATCTCCTCCACCTCATTTATGATTTTAGTTTTAATACTCGTTTTTAAATTAGTTTCATATAGTTTGATTAAAATTTAAGATTTGACCAAATAAAAATAATATTATTTATCGATTTTACACAAAAATAACTCATTTTAATCTATATTTAATCTTAGTAACTAAAAAATATAATGACAATTAGTTTGATAGAATTGTCACTTATTTAAAATTTTAAAAATAGTAGTAGTTGGGTGTCCAAAATATGAACTGTGATTGGTGGATTTCAATTTTTTGCAGTTTTCTAACTACCTAAAATGGATATGAAATATATTCGTTCCGTTGAACGCAATAGCATACTTTTTCATTTTGTAGTCTGTGCGTAGATATGCCAATATCCATGAGGGTTCAATAAAACACAGGATTTGAAATTTGGGTATTTTACAGGAAATTTCAAGGAAAACGCTAAATATTTTTTTTAAAATTGATACTTTTATAAGAAAATAAGTCAAAAATCGTTGTAACTTCTACTCTGTCCCCCATGGCCACCTCCATGTTTTTTACAATAAAACACCATGTATATAATCTCATTTTTGTATTTTTCTCTATTATTCGATTAAAAATATGTATACCTGAGATTAAAGTAAATCTTTTGGAAGTTGCGTTTTCAAATTTTTTTCCTTTTCCCCCATTTTTCAATTTTAAGCTATTGCATAGCTTTTATCGCGGGCTTTGAGTGGCGACCGAATCAAGAAATTCCGCGAAAATAAACCATTATCTGCATTGTCTAACGTCGTTTCAGTTCGACAGACTTCGGCAGGGTGTTTGTGTGCGTGCGACTAGACGTATGCGTGTAGACTAGCTGCTAACTGCTCATAACTGATTCTATCTCTTTTAGACCCAATGCTAGGTGAGACCTCGTGCTTTTGGCGGCGTCCACGAGTGAGTTCGAGCCCACTGGAGTTGTACAGTATATTTTTTCTACGACTCACTAACAAAAATCGAAAAATTGAAAACGTAAAGATCGAAAAATCGAAAAACGTAACATCAAAAAATCGAAGAATCGAAAAATCAAAAAATCGAGAAAGAAATTCCGTAACGAAAATAAACCTAACACCCCCGCTCCGACCGGCACAGCGATGCGGTGTTGAAAGCCGTGCATCGTCTAACGTCGTTTCAGTTCGACAGACTTCGGCAGGGTGTTTGTGTGCGTGCGACTAGACGTATGCGTGTAGACTAGCTGCTAACTGCTCATAACTGATTCTATCTCTTTTAGACCCAATGCTAGGTGAGACCTCGTGCTTTTGGCGGCGTCCACGAGTGAGTTCGAGCCCACTGGAGTTGTACAGTATATTTTTTCTACGACTCACTAACAAAAATCGAAAAATTGAAAACGTAAAGATCGAAAAATCGAAAAACGTAACATCAAAAAATCGAAAAATCGAGAAAGAAATTCCGTAACGAAAATAAACCTAACACCCCCGCTCCGACCGGCACAGCGATGCGGTGTTGAAAGCCGTGCATCGTCTAACGTCGTTTCAGTTCGGCAGATTTCGGCACGGTGTTTGTGTGCGAGCGATTATACGTATGCGTGTAGACTAGCTGCTAACTGCTCATAACTGATTCTATCTCTATTAGACACCATTTCTGAAAAATTGAATTTGAAAATGAATAATGATCCACAAGAATTCACAACAAAATATGGGACCACCATTGACGCAGTATTTTCCAGATATTTAGAGGATATCAATTCTCAAACTTATGTTTCTTATTTCAGTTACCATAAACCTATAGTTTCAATGATAAAAATTCCTGAATAACCTACATGTATTGTAAGATAATAAAAATATTTTAAACAATATTAACTTCTCATTTATTCAATAAAAGAAAAAAATTGTTTTCTTATCGGTCACCACGCTCAAAAAGTGTAACTTGAATTAATATCAAAGAAAAAACTTGAATTAATATCAAAGAAAAAAATACTGCATAAATAAAATAAATAATTATAATTGCATAAGTTGATAAAAAATGCTATGCAATAGCTTTACCGCGGCAGTCCCCGAGCGCCACACGTATTTTTTTCCCAAGATGTCCTCCTTTACATTATTTTAACTTATTTTTATATATTTTTTTTATATATATATAATATAATAGCCTTTTATGTGGTCTTTATGACAAAGTAAATTAAATTAAAATCAATAAAATCGTGATAATTGTTTTGTTATTTGAATCTTGCACAATTTCCTACGTGTGATTTTTTCACCATATGGCAGTTGAATTTAATTTAATTTAGACCCATACAAGACACTTAGCATATAAGTAACTTCCATTTTTAGCCATAACTACTAAATTTTTAAACAACACCTTGTAATAATCAAAATACCGTTTCTTTAAATGTTAATGTTTGGATAATTTATTAAATCTGATCAATAATAATTTACGATAATAAATAAAAATGTGGGGTGAAAAGGAAAACTCACTATAAACAGGCTCGGTGAAGCAGATTCGATGGTCAGTAGATGTATCATTTCTTCATTTATTGATCTTCCAGTATCAAAGTTGTACATATATACAGGGATAATATCGTCTTTCTCGTCTTCAACTAAAATAATAAAAGGTTTAATGATAAAAAAAATCTACTCTATCTCCATTCACAAATGATAGAACAATGTAAAAACTACTCACAGCTTTAATACCAGATTTTAATAATGACTAAAGAAGTATTTTAAAACATGACTTGCAAAGCAATAATACATCCTACTAAATGGAAAACCCTATTATTTTTTTACGAATAAACTAAAAGTTTTAATGTATCGGGTCGGTGGCGTAGTGGTCCCACGCGCTTATATTCATTTATAGACAAGTTTGTGATTTAGTGACAGAGCAGCTTCGAGTCCTACAGCAGACAATGCGAGTTTTTAATTAAATTGCATGTTTCTTTATCGAATTTGATGTGTGCCGTATTAACAGAAATTTAAGTTCTGTTGATATGACATCCAGACTATAAATAGCCATGCTTACCGTCTTGATGATGGTGGGTGAGGTTTTCTTCCCTAAAGCTAATATATGTATTAAAATGTACTATTATCAAAAATAAGGTCTTAAATATTACAGCTACCCCCTCCCCAGACTAAACTTTACTACCACTACCCCCCAGACTTAAAACTCTGGATGCGCCACTGGCAACTATGGTATATTGGACATACAATATAATGGTAAGACCAATAATAACATACGCCGCTATGGTGTGATGGCCAAAGATACAACAAAGAGCACCTGCGTCATGTTAGCAAGTAGCCAGCCAGCAATAAATTTAGGTGGAGGCCAAAGCGCCAACGGTTTTACTAAATTTTTAACATCTTAATTATTTTAAATTTCGACATAAAGAATATATTAAATCATAATTTGTTGCATTATAATTATTATTACCCTTTCGTAAAATTATAATAAGGGATTTAGAGAGGGCTAAAGCTTTTATTACTAGAACGAAATTTGTGTGTTTTAAAAATTTATTTAGGCCATTGGATAGATAATAAAAAAACAAACAACTTTTTCAAATACCATTTTAAATGCTATATGGGTAATAAGGGATTTAGAGACCTTTGAAATTTCAGAGTTATTGCTGAACCAAAATTTGTTTTTTTCAAAAAATTATTTAGGCCATTCCAAAGATATTAAAAAAACAAACAATTTTTTCAAATACTATTTTAAATGATATATTGGTTATAAGGGATTTAGAAATCTTTGAAATTTCAAAGTTTTTATTGCTGAACCAAAATTTGTTTTCTTTCAAAAATTTATTTATTTTTTCAAATAACATTTTAAATGCTATATGGGTTATAAGGGATTTAGAGATCTTTGAAATTTCAGAGTTTTTATTGCTGAACCAAAATGTATTTTTTAAAAAAAATATTTAAGCCATTCAATAAATAATAAATAAATAAATAAACAACTTTTTTAAATACCATTTTAAATGCTATATGGGCGTATCTTTAATGTTTGATTAGTGAACTGTATACATAATAATGTTAATAATAAAAGCAGTTACTTACCAACACAATCGCTGGCAACTTCTAAAATGACACTTTTGTAAAGTAACGTTTGTCTCAACGTATTTGACTCAGTCGAAGCATCATAAAGTTCTTCTAAACCAGCCAAACGACATACAAAAGCCTTAAAGAAACATAATAGAAAAATAATGCAAATGGTAATTCCACTTAAATTACCTGTGCTTGACAAATTGCGTATTCCCTCTTCAGTTGGTATATTTTGTCTTTTGGAAGTACAATTTCGTCTCCAAAATCGATATAAAAACAAGAAACATGAGTATCGGTGACATCTATCGCTCTTACTCTATACCATCCATCATCATACTCTGCTATATAATAGCCATTTTGATTAATAATAATTGCACGGAGAGAATCTTTGTGTTTACTGTAATAATCTTCCAATTGCGAGTTCATTTCTAAAAATTTATCCTACAAAAAAAAAATGGTATAATTTAATTTACAAAATAAAGAAAATATGAGTACAAAAGGAAGGCAAATTAGGTAAAAATACACTGTGCCAATAAACATGATTCAAAAATGCCGAGGATAAAAAGTTGCTAGTTATATATTGTGAAAATAATAGAATCTTTTATGGTATAATTAGATTATCGTTGGTAAATAATCATTTTTTGTTTATAAATACGAGTAGAACCTTATTGTTAATGCTTTTTCAGGTAGCTTGTTTGTAGACCAGAGTTGTAAGCTTTAGTCCTGAGTTGACTTAATTTGCCATTTAAGGGTATTTATATCTTAATAATTTTTTTAAAAATAAAAGTTTAGTTTTGGAATTTTTAACTCTAGCATTTTTTTTTTAATTTTCCATGTGTTTATAAGGTTGCCATAAACACATTCATAATGCCCTAGGACATATTTGGGCAACTCCAGAGCCCCCGGGCCGGATCCGGTCCTCCACCAGCTTCAATACGGCCCGCAAGAGGTTCAGAAAATTCAAATAATGTGCAAAAAAATTATATAGTTAGCATAGCACACATAGTTTATTTGCAATTGTATTAAGCGTACGCAGTGGAACGCCACTGTATTCTTCAACTTATAATGTCTAAAATCGATAAATATTATTAAGCGTACGAAGTGGAATGCCACAAATCGTGTCAGAAATAGTCGTTAGAAAGAAACAAACTGATAAACATTCGGACAGCCGCCCGATGCGCTTGAAGCGCTCGCGTACGATTGAATATTCTAGTTGCTTATTGGGGAAATATTCAAGCAAAAACATGTCTGGTTCAAATAGACTAATGAATACTTTTTTATCTCGCACAGTGGTAAACCTATGTGTTTGTTGTGCATTGTGCAATTAAACAATTACTCCAGCAAGCATTTTCCTCAATATAATTCACTCATGGACAAGTTAAGAAAGGATAAAACTAAAAAAATTCATTACCGATTTAGGGAAACGGCAACTAATGTTTCATTCACAAAGATCAAATCTAGATATGTAGTGTTGTTAAAGCTAGTTCCAAAATAGCGAAAACATCGAAGTTATTTTCTGAGGGACAGTTTATTAAAGAGTGCCTAGTAGACGTTGCAGAACTTTTGTGCCCAGAAAAGAAGAGTTTGAAAAAGTGAGCTCATCGTGATGTACTGTTGTTCGACGTATAGATATGATGGCTAGCGATATCAAAAAAATATTGACTGGTACATTAGCTGATTTTCAAGAATTTTTGATTTCTTTGGATGCGAGTACAGATTTATCTGACACAGCCCAGTTAGCTATTTTTATACGAGGTGTTGAAGAAGAAGTTGCAGTGACAGAGGAATTACTGGGTTTACGGCCGCTATAAGGGACCACTACTGGAAAAGATATTTTTGCTGAGGTGCAACGTACTTTTGAGCAATATGGTTTGCAGTGGTGGACATTAGTTGCGAGTGTGCACGGATGGTGTGCCTTCAATGGTCGGTTCACGAAAAGTTTTTATCGGAATTCTGAAGGAAAGAGCAACCGCACAAGAATGTTATTTAATAATTCTGCATTGCATTATTCACCAACAAAACTTGTGCTCCAAGTCCATTCGATTGAAGAATGTTATGGATGTGGTAGTAAATACCATTAATTTCATTAGATGCCGCGGTCTTAACCATCGCCAGTTTAAAGCATTTTTGGATGAACTTTCTTCAGAATACGATAATGTGACATATTATTGCGAAGTAAAGGTAAAATGCTAAAAATATTTTATGACCTTAGAAAAGAAATAGAGCCGATTTTATGGAAATGAAAGAGAAAACGTTGCCGGAAATGAAAGAGAAAACGTTGCCGCAAATTTGTGATCCAACTTGGCTTTGTGTCTTGGCATTCCTGGTAGACATTCAACGACCTGAACTTGAAGCTACATAAACAAGGGTAATTAATAAATCAGCTGTACAGTCATCTTATAGCTTTTCAAAACAAAATTCGCTTGAAGGAAACACAAATGAGAAGTAAAAACTGTTTTCATTTTTCAACATTATCCAGTCACGAAAACATTTAATACGGTCGTTATGTTGAAGAATCGAAACTGCTGTCCGAGCAATTTACTGATCGATTTTCCGATTTTAAGAATAGGGATAACACTTTCAATATTTTTGCAAATCCTTGTAAATGTAATGTGGAAGATGCTCCACTTCACCTACAAATGGAGTTGATCGAGCTTCAAGAAGAATCATATTTGAATTCTAAATTTTATGATGTGGAACTAAGCCAATTTTACAGAAGATACCTTTCCAAAGAAGAATATCACAGCTGAGTTTCCGCACTTGCACCTATGTACTAGTTATATTGACCCCGATATTGATCATTTTGTTTCTCAACTTCAAACTCTAGTCTCTCATTAATTTTCATTTGATTTTTTTCTTTTTTTATTAACTTGCTTTTTATATGTTCGAATCATTATGCTATTATAATTAATAAATAAAAAAATGTGTGACTTTTTGTAGCTTCTTTATTCACTACTATCTGCTTATTTCTTGTTTATGGTCCGTGACCTAATTAAGTGCCGAAATTACGCCCTCAGCTAAGAAAAGGTTGACCATACCTGCTCTAGGGTGTTGAAATTTCTAACACTTGCTGATTTATTTAGTTTTTTATTGTTGGAATAAAGAGAGGAAAATGTTGAACTAAATCATTAATTTTAAATAGTTTTAAAACAAAGCAAATGTAGATTAAACTGCTAAAATAATTTATTTATAACCATTTTTGAGCAGCAATGAGCGAGATTACTAAGAGCATATTCTGAACAATATAATAAATGTCAAAGTATTAACAACTGTCATCGACTACCTGCATACTCGAAAAACGTATTACAAAAGAAAAAATGATTTTTTCATTAAAAAGACACATTTTTAGTGAAAAATAAAATCTTTCATGTGTCGTAGCCAAATTGTAATACCCGTCAAATTCTCGTTTAACATTCATATAACATTCAGATTGTCAAAAGATTCAAATTGTATTCTGCTTGACATTCTGGCGGGTGAAATGTTTTAGTCGTTTTAAAAAATACAAATTTTACTTTAAAGTTAGGGGCATCAAAATTTTAATGGAATTAAAATATATATCGAATATTTTACATATTTTTTTTTATAAACAGAACAAATAAAACTGAAGAACAAATGAACATAAAATAAAACTGAAGAACAAATGAACATAAGATAAAACAACACTTTCTAAGCTTGAAAAAACAATATAGTCTTCGTCCGACCGTATGATTTCTGCACTATATTTTAATCAAAATACAATTTCTATAGATCATTATTGATGGAGAAATACGGTTTTGCTGGGTTGCCTATTAAAATATGGCTTTTTAATATTACTTAAAGGTATATTTCTGTTATTTATGATTATAGAAGAAAATTCTTTTAACCAGAGTTGTTTGTGATATTATTCTCTAGGATTTTTTTATTACATGGACCATAATAAAGAAATTTGAGGAAAAGTCCAAAACTCGATTTTTTCAGTATTTTTGTTGGCAATGAAGTCATAAAATAATGTTTTGAATAATTTTACAGATTTATTTTTTGATTTGATGGGCCTCACTCAATATTTACTTTACAGAAATATTTTCACTTTTCCTCAAATTTCTCAATATATTCCATTTTAGAAAAATCATTTATATGACTAAAATTATAGAGAATGGCATCACAAACAGCTTTTATTGAAATAATGTTCATCTATAAACAAATATAAAAGAAATACAACTGAAAGTAGAAAAAAGTACTATTAAAGTACTTACGGCCATATTTTGATAGGCAACCCAGCAAACCCGTATTTATCTATCAATAATTATCTATAAAAGACTATAAGCATATTTTATTTATTAGAACATGAACCATTGAAATTACACCTACTGTGGCATTTTCCCCATGCTTTAAAACCAAGACATTTTTCGTCTGTACAGCATTAAACTTTACTAGGTTTTCATTGGCTTTATAGTTTCTCTTAACGTAATACTGGTATTTTCTGGATTTAAATTAAACGTACTCCCTTTCGTACATCAAGAATAGTTTTTAACACAGCTTTAGAGTCAAGCGCACCCCCGGAAAATCTTTCCATTTTTTTTGTGATTTGACCCATTTGGCCTACACGTTTTTGATCTGTTTTGCACTGTATTTTTATTACTTTTTCTTTACAGCAAAAATTACACTTCCTTTAATTTTATCACTTACTGCGAAATTTTACATTGTACATGTTTGTTCTTTATCATTTTTTGCATTTCCATCTCTACAGTTGTTATCAGCCAAAATTAAATTGTTCATGTCGAAAATCGGCTGTTTTACAAAACGACTGAAACTCATTACAAGCAGAAATATCAACCAGAGGATAATCTTAAATATTTGACAATCTGACCGTGTGTTGACCGTCTTTTTATAAAACGCCTAGGCATTTTATAATCCGGCTAGCCAGTAAAATAAAGAAAAGTAAACGGAAATTTGAAAATTTGGGCGCTATTTATAAAACGCCTATGCAATTTATAAAATGACAGGTTTTGTAATCTGGCTACGACATATGCACCACTTGCGTTATTAAATCAGATGGCATCAATTCATTAAAATGTGTTTTAATTACAATTAAAAATTGCTTTTACTATAAAAATATACTCATAAGTAGAGCTAGGAATATATGCAAAACGCCATATTTTGCATATGTTGCATATATATACAATTTTTGATTTTGAATGCATACATTGACATTTTGTTAATTTTTTGGCATATATCTGACGTACTAATTGGCTGGACATATTAAAATTATGAGTTTTGGACCAAAATAATATTTTGTGAAATGCCTTTACAGCTCAATTTCCTAAAATTTTGAAGGATTAACTTTTCCCTGTAATAAATTACGGTTAATGGTGTAGGTACTTCAGAGGATTAAATTATAAAGACCCTCCTTAAACCAACAAATTTTGCTAAATATCCTTTCAGGTAGTTGTATTAATATCTTC